GGGACGCCGTTCTGGGCTCCGCCGGCGGTTCGCGGTGCTGGGTGTGCGGGCAGGGCCGGGCGGCACTGCCGGTGTGGGCTCCCGTGGCTTTCGGATGTCCTGGGGGCACCTCTCCTCTTCCCTGTGCAGAAGTGTCACCTCTCATAAAAAGGCGTTTTCTGCGTGTCTCAGTGGGACGGCAGGTTATTGACCTTCTTGTTTTCCTGTTGTTTTATTGAAGAGGTTTTACCTGCTTCCCAATGTGCGGGGTAACAGGAAAACATCCGTGTGGGTTTTTTTTCAGTTCTGCAAGTGTAGTCAGGACACTGTTCCAAGTCTGGGACCTTCACCCGGTGTGCACTAAGCCAATCGGCACACAGAGTCGAGATGTTTGTCTTTATTTCTGGTCTGCAGAGCAGGGTATTGGGCATCTAAACATCAGCCAGCACCCCTCTGGGGACACAGTATCTTATAAAGAAAACAGAAACAAAGGAAAATCACAACAAAATATAGGATTGGTTAGCAGTTATTTCTCTGCTGCTCCTAACTATACGTATGCATCTAGGTGCAGGTTTAAAACATAGTGACTAAATTAGCATACTCATTGTTCACAAAGGGGCATGATTTTTAGCATTAAAATTAGCTAAGGTAACTGAAGTTCATACCTTCATCCTGTCAACTGCCGTTAAGTTCCTACCCAGTTTGGCTCAGGTTTTCATCCTGTTACTGGTCTGCGTCTTCTCTACCTGTGAGAAGATCAAAGGGCAAAACAGTCGTGTAGAGTAAGGTTTTGACCCGAATTGTGTCCTAGACACTGGTCTTATGTGGGAGAAGTAATACTATTCTGTCCCAAATCTCCCGCAGTATAAGCCAGATGTTGCAATGGGCCACTCTGTTGTTAAATCTTTGCAGAAGATTAACCCCAGGGTTCTCTGGGATATGTCGCAGACTTTGGGTCCTTGGTTTGGTTATGTTTTGGTGTTGGTGGGGTTTTTTTGTTGGTTTTGTTTTGTATTGTTTTGTTTCATTTTGCTTGTTTGTGTTTTTTTCTTCCAACACTAGCAGTTGTTGCACAGTGAGGAGGCTAGAACCCTGACCTTTGACTTTTTCCCTGTTTGCATGTTACACAGTTTGTGTGCTTCCTCAAGTTGTTTCTCCAGAATGTGCAAGAAATAATTACTTAGCAGTTTCAGTTAGGCCCTGAATTTTGGTCACTTCGTTAGAAGCATGGATGAAAAAATTACAGTGTAGCTGGACATACAAACAAGCTGTTATTACATTTCTTATTAATGCTGTGTTTTTAATGCATGTTTTGCAAACTCCTGTAGTTATTCGTGGAGTTCAGGGGTTATATGTGTTGGAGGAAGTAACAAACCATCCTGTGCTTCCCTGCGATGTCTTTGCCTAGTAACACCTAACTTCATGTGAGATAAAACTGAAAAAAACAAGTTTTGGCCTAGGGCTTGTCTACCCTGTGAAGTCTGGGGCTAGCACAGAAAGTGTTAAAGGAAACAGAAAAGGTTGATTGTTTGTATTGGAAAAACTGTTTTTGTAGTGTTTAATTTTTCCCTGTCTGCAGGCAGGGGTCAGCTGCAAATAGAGAGCGATTAGGGCCCAGCTTGCCATCAGTGTTCCCCTGTGCAATGGTGATTTTTACTAGGGATTTTGTCTCAGTATATGTAATCTCAGAAAGCTGCTGATGACACTGTGTACCTGTGTGCACTGGCCCTTGTTAGAGTGACACCTCATTTCTTTAAGCAAGCCTTTAATTTTTGTATTTCAAAACGTCAGCAAATTTCTTGGAAAGATGTTTGCATAATTTCTTGTGCTCTTTAAAGTTATACCTTGGAGGTTTTAACTTCATGTAGTGTCACTTCGTTTCTTTCTAATTAAAAGCTTTGTTTTTTCAAGGGATCCCGCCTTTGGTGCTGCCCAGTCAGAGAATTCTTTAAATACAGTCCAGCAGTGGTCACACAGAACGGACAAACTTAGACTGGAGGAGGGAAGATGATGTCCTTGGATGGACTGCAGAAAAGCATCAGCAACCCGGTAACTCCACAGCCATGTCAACAGCTTCTCCCTTGGGAAATGGGACTTTGGTCTTTTATGTCAGTAGTTAGTATTTGTGCTGTTTTGCACAGTGAGGAGTGTTGCTGAGAACTCTCTGCATTGCTCAGGTATTTGAGGGAGAATGTCACAGTTGGCACTAGGAGCTCATGGTGTTTAGAAATTGTGCTGTAATCAAATGGACGCTTCATGCACAGGATTTTCAAAACAGGAAAGAAGGTCTTTCGGCCTTGGAGGGTAATTCTTTTTCATACATAGCAGAATGTGCTGGCTCGAATGTGAAAGTGTGATAAGCAATGTTTTCACTCCTAATTCTTGGCAAACATGGGTGGTGCCTGACAGCCCTTGGAAAGGTTTGGGTTTTTTTTGTGGTTCTTGTAACTTCCATCTAAAGAATTAAACTTGGCATCTTTTTTTTTGATAGTTGATGTCTTAACTTCCAGTAAATCCTGTTCTGTAGGGAATACTTCAGCTAACAAGATTCAGCAGTTGCACAGTGTGGATTTTGCAGAATGTTGTTTACCTGTCTTTCTCTGAGAAGCTGTAGTGTTCTCATGATCAGGGACAGCAGCCTGACACTGGCATGTGGCTAAAGGGGTGGGCTGGAGCTGTGTTTTTCATTGTATCTTTAAAAATATAGTTCCTTTGAGCCTGCAGGAAATGGTATTTTTAACAGTCTGTGCTAGAACCCTTTAAAATATTAAGGCCTCTAGAGCATCTTTCTGGAGTGCACAGTGGCACAGATCTGCACAGTACTTCCTAATCTGTTGCAGTTTTGCACTGATACCTCTGCTCTTAGTGAATCTCATTGTTTAATCCCACTGTAGGTTCACTGCTCGCAAAGTGGATGGTTAGGGATGATGGGGAATAGATGCAACCTTCACAAGAAACCAGCTGGGAGAGGAAGGGAAGCTGTATGGAGATTAACTAGAAGGTGGAAGGACTTAGTAAGACTGATTCCCTAGGCCCTTCACCAGCTTTGTTGCCCTCCTCTGTACTTGCTCCAGCACCTCGATATCTCTCTTGAATTGAGGTGCCCAAAACTGGACACAATACTCCAGGTGTGGCCTCACCAGTGCTGAGTACAGGTTGTAGGGATGGAGGAGGTCAGGCTGTGAAGATTTCATTGTTTGGGTGAATTGTTCCATGAATGGTGTAACTGAAGAGCTTTATTACAGGTTGGAGTCTGAGATGTCTTTCTTCACTGCTAGAGTATTCTGAATCATTCAGAAAATCCTGCTTTCCTCTTTATGCCTTTTACTTGACCCATCTGGCAAGAAATATTGTCATGCCCAATCTGATGGGGCAACTGTCTGATACTCATCAAGCTTTGTGAAAGCTGTGTTATCACAGTCCTTTGCTCTGTAAAACCATAATCTGTTCTCTTGTTTTACAAAAGCTGGCAAATACTAGAAAGAACTTGATCTTTGAGACCTTTCAAACTCAGTTGGCATTGACCAGTTGGTTTCGGAGGTAGTATCTGGATGTCTAAAGAGATCTGGGAGGCTCATTGTTCATATGATGTCATAAGCATTGCTCTTAATAAAAAAGGAAAAAATAGTAGAACATTTTGAGAATGAGGAAATTACAGGCACATTCAGTGATGACAAAGCCTTGTTAAGTCTATAGTGTCACACCCAGGAAATGCTTGATTATGGCCTTGCAGATTCCGAGTCTGAGCTTCTCAATAGTTGGTGGGCCAAACTTCTTTTCTCTTAAAGAAACACATCCTTTTCAATGTGAAGAAGTGTTTTTGTCATAGCTTGTCTTCCATGGCTGAATAACTGATCCACTAGAGTGGGTAAATCCCAGCATCCCTTCAATGTGTGTGTGTTTTTCTGATAGTTTTTCAGTCTTTGGAGATTGAATCAGTAACTTATTAGTCAACTGCTCCCCAGGAGCAGTGTATTAATGCTAAAGTAATCAAGATATGTTTTTTTCTTCTTTCTTATAATTATTCTTATTCTTTGAATAAAAATGAGCCTCTTGTGTACAGCTTGTATATTAAGGAACCAAGCTACTACCAGTAAGCAAAACAATTTCAGCCTATTTATTTTTTTGCTCTTATCACTTAATTTCATGTTTTGATTCTTCTCTACTGCACCTGCTTAAGCCAGTAAAAATACACGAGGCTTAAAATGACCATCTGTGAGCTGATGCGTGAGAAGCAAGTTCTTCAAGTGTGTTTTGCCTAATGTAGAAGACAGCTGCAAATTAGGGTTCATATAACTTCTGGGTAGCTGAGAAGCGAAGTAGAAAGAGGGCAGAAAAGGATGTGTTTCTCCTGGCAAAAATGAGCAACAGTCTGGATATAGACAATTTTTGCTGTCATTCTCCCTTTCATTTTCATAAACTCACAAGAGTAGGTGTCAGCAAAAACATCCCCTTCTTACATATCCCTGTTTTGTATGATTATATATGTGTATGTATATATACATAAAAAAAATAGTAATCTCAACTCGTCCTTTCATGGCTCAATATTCCATTCAAGAGTAGTATGGCCAGTCTGTTCAATTTTGATTGTTAAGTAACTGGAACTATTTTTTCCAATTGATGTTTCATTTCAAAGATTTCCTAAAATCTTATACACCATTCCATAGGTCAGGGATTTTTTTGTGTGAAAAAAAAACACCCAAAAGGCAACCTCAGCAGAAATTTTTGTCTATTAACCGGGGGAAATGAAACACTAGTTAACATTTACGTTCTTTTTCAATTTAAAGCACATGTGAATGAGATGCAGAGCTATAGCTGTGCTTCAGATCAGAGTCTCCTGTGAACTCCCAGTTTTCTGTTAAGGTGCTTCCCTCCCAGAAGTGCTGGATGTGCCAGCTGATGGCCACAGTAGGGCTTCTATCAGCATGTCTGAGCCTTTACCAGAGAGCATCTTGGGATGTTTGGGGCTTTTATTTCAACTGACATGTCTCCTCATATGGCTTAACAACTTGAATCCTCTTTATACTCTATTAAAAGTGAAGCAATAAAATACTACCACTCTTTGAGAGCTAGGAATGAAGGCTGGAATTTTTAATTCATTCTCAGAAGGTTGGTTTTCATGGTTAAAATGTACTGGGTTTTTCATTCCTGTTATGGTGTATATTTACTGCTCTCCTACTGTTTATTTTAAATTAAATGTTAGTTATGTTTCTTCTAATGTGCTAGAGCACCACATAGTTAAGTATTAGAGCATTATTTTAAAAACTATTGTAGGGCTTTTTTGCCTCCATCACAAAATGTTATTTGAGTATTTTTCCTTTTTTTCCCCCTGTCTTCTAGATCATTCCATATGTTGGGACAATACTTGGTGGCCTTGTTCCTGGAGAGCTGATTGTGATACATGGGACTGTTCCTGATGATGCAGACAGGTAATGGCTACGGTGTCAGTTTTTGCAGTGTCACCATGTGAACAATAATGTAACGGAGAAAGTATTTCCAGGGTCCTCCTTCAGATGGCATGCAAGGCTGAATCTAAATCCGTTACAGTGTCAGGTGAATACAAGCTTAAGTGGTTAATGAAAGCTGTGTTGAGAAGTGGAGAATGAAGTGATTCTTTGCATTCTACTGATCCTCTCTGATTTTGCTTTGCCTGCTTTGGTAGCTTTTTTTCCCTGTCATAGCAAATGTCTCCTTGTCTAAAGAGGTTATCTGAGACTAAGAAAATTGATACCTGAATCTGTGGCATGAAGGAGTTAACTTAAACTAGGGTAAGGAGGTACAGACTAGTGCACGTGCCCAGCATGAGGGTTCTGTTCCCTGACTTTGCCCAAGGTTCATTTAGTTGTTCTACTGAAGGTGATGGGAGAGAAGGTGGTGAACACAATAACTAAGGAGCTTACATTTTATGTATGATGAGCATTAAATAAATACTGAAATATTTTAATTAATTGCAATAAATGATGGGAGAACCTTTCACAAATGTGTAGGATGCATTTGAGTTCAACAAATGCATGTTTTGTTTTGTTTTTTCCTTATCCAGCAAGACTCACTGTTTCTGCCTGCTCTGAGGCTCCTAAGTAAAACATGAGTACATTGAACTTTTCGGTGTTTTCTTGACAGACTGAGCTCAATGTGGTTTGTCTTACTTTTATTATTAGATTCCAGGTGGATTTACAGTGTGGCAGCAGCATAAAGCCCCGAGCTGATGTGGCATTTCATTTCAACCCCCGCTTCAAAAGGTCTGGCTGTGTTGTTTGCAACACACTGGAGAGGGAAAAATGGGGCTGGGAAGAGATCACTTATGAGATGCCGTTTCAAAAAGGGAAGTCGTTTGAGATTGTAATAATGATTTTAAAGGATAAATTCCAGGTGAGTCTGGGTTGATTCTTTATCTGTATCCAGTTGTCAGGCTGATAAAAGATATTTTGTATACTTACAATAAGTAGTTTGAAACTTTGGTTCTCTGTTCACCTGGTTATAATCTAACTACAAAAAAGTTGAAAAGCTTTTCTTTAAAGAGGTGCTAAGTAAACAAAACCTTTAATTTTGTATTCCTTCCCTTTAAGTTGGATGAGTAGGCAAGTAACTTCCTGCTGTGGCTACTGGCTACTCCACCCTTCCCGTAAGTGCAAAGGGCTGACCTTAAGTTGGCCTGTTTTGTGACTAGTGTAGGAGAGTCCTCTTGGAGGAGCCATGTGAGGTGTACTTGTCTTGTTCTTCTAGACTGCAATAATAGAGTCTATTAGATTGGAATTACCACATTGGTAAATGATCAGCTGATAGAAACAAAAGATGCAAAGTGCAAATTTTAGTGGGAAGATAAATCTCCCTCAGAGTGATGGAAAAGAGACTGAATCATGGATAAGCAGGATTTAGATGCTGTGAAATTTCTAGGACACGCCTTGTTTCTGTACCAAAGCAGTGTAAAACAGAAATACATGCATACAATGTAATACATGGCTGGTGTAATATGATCTTTAATACAATTTTTCTATTTCCTGACTCTTTAGGTGACTGTAAACAAGAAGCACTTACTGCTCTACAACCACAGAATTAGCCTGGAAAGAATAGATACTCTTGGGATATATGGCAAAGTGCATATCAAAACTATAGATTTTGTTTCTAATGTAAGTTATATGTACAGCTGACTTGTTTGATTCCTTTTCTCTGTCTTGCTAAAGTTCAGATTGGGATTTATGTGAAAAGGAAGCAAAGCAGCTTTACAGTGTAATGTCAGCAAAAAGATTTTTTCACTCTGCATTTCAACATGAGAGTCTTGTGAGGATCTGTCTTCCTGTTTTAATCTTGAGGTTAGGGGCAAAAGGGTGACAAAGGTTACAGCTTGCAAAGTTAACAGGACAGATGGTATAAGAATTAATTGGATACTGTGTCAAGGAGTGGGTTAGACTTTTCAAATACTGTAGAAGCTCCAAAATGAACCGTCAGTATTCTGTGCTTCTAAGTGCCAAGTTCAGCCACAGCTGTAACTTGTTCCTTGGCTTCCAGATGCCAAATTCAGCCACAGCTGAAAGTGTTTATCCACATTGCCCTTTTTTTCCTGCTAAAATGACTGAATGGTTGAATGTGAGTATATCTTTGCTTCTGTGAGGTGAGATGTCCTTTTTCAAAGACTTCGTACTTGGCTTGCACTTGAACCAAACTGTGTGCCATCATAGGTAGGACCTCTGGAAGTATTTTATCCATTATATTTCCAGACCGAATTGCAGTCAATTTAAAGTGAGGGCTGTGCTTTGCTTCCTCTCAGCTGCCAGCTCTGCTAGAGAAGGTAAACCAAGAGGGAGTAGTGGAATGTTTTCCCCTGTGCAGAAGGGAGGTCTGTTCTGGAAGGGGGAGGCTTTTCAAGTAGAAGCAGAAGGTGATAAATTCCAGGGAGATACAGAAGGTGAATACCTTTCCCTGTTCATCCTGTGACACACTAAAGGCAGTCTGTGTGCTCCTGTGTAATATTCTAGGTCTCTTCTGCCCCATCCTCACTACATTGTGGGCAAAGCTTCAGGTCTAACTCAGGTCAGCAAACTAATAACTGTGTTGATAGAAGGTTGAGGTTTGGGCCTGAACTAAATAGAATCTAAGCTTTAAAGATGTGTCTGCTCCCTGATCATTTGCAAAGCCTGTGTACAGACTTTTAAGGGCCAAATCACTTGGCCTTAGGTGTGTTGCCAGAATAATGTTACTCCAAAGCTATATGAGTCCTGATCTTGAAGGACTGACTCCAAGAAGGGCTTGGTGGCAAGCAGATGTTGTAGATTGGTTTCTGTCCCAGGCACAAAACAAAAGTGTTGCTTTACTCTGTGGTTGCTGATGCTGTATCCTTTGGGGAAGAAAGGAGTAGAGAAGGGCAATTGTTTCCTTTTTGTCTTTGCTTCTAATATGTTCTCCTGTGGAAGAAGTTGGAGACTTGTATTGAAATAAACAAGCTGTAGACACAGTCTACCAGGGCTAAGCTGGAACTGTATCTCTGCATGACTGTGTTGTTCATCGGCCCTTACCAGTGGAGGGGACAGGGATGCTGGGGGTTGCTTAGCATCCTGAGGCCCTGCTGGTATTCCTATCCTAGTGAGGAAAGCTCAGTGGGTGCCCTCAGATGCTAAGGATTTAACAGTGCTCTGTCTGTTAAATGAAGATTCAAACAATAATGAGGTGGTCTTTAGAAATCTCAGTTTGGCTTCAGTAATTGATCTTCAGGACTTTTCCTTCATTTGTAGGGATTTGTTTATCTTTTCCTTTACCATAGTCCTACATATTATTTTCACCCTTCAAAGCAGTGCAGATCTTCATAGGGTTCTGAACCAACTTTATGTTAAAGTTCTATGGTGTTAGCAATGACATGTAAATATCTCTCTCTCTGCAGTCTTTACAAGGCTCTCAGCCATCATCTCTAGGAGTAACAAAGATAAGCACAGAAAATGTACGTATGTTTGTAAAAGGTTGAATGAATCTCCCTGGTCTCTGATAAACTAGTTAATATTATTTGTTTTCTTTTGTAGGGGGATGTGCCAGATGGTTCACAATTTGTAAGTGTCTTGTGCAGACTTTGTGCAAATGTGTAGAGTAAAAAAAAAATAAATAAAAGCATCTTGGTTATTAATAAAAAAACATACACAGAACAAGGGTATTAAAAATCTACTGGGAGATGATAATCAGTGAGGTTTTGTAGAGAGTAATCCTCTTTGCTGCTGCTAGTAAAAGTGAAGCTAATCGTTAAACATTTACAAAACCCAAAATATTAACACAGCATCCACAGCCATAAACAGGGAAATAGAAGGTAAAATACCTGAAGTTTTAAAGGACCATATCATGTTGAAAACATTTTTTCAAATAAACATACTTAGTTCTCTCACCGTAGGAAGTATTTGCAAAACAGAAGCATTCTGCAGTCATAGAATGCCAGATGGTCTTCTATGCATGTATCTTGGAGCCTGTCTGGCTTCCTCTTGCTGGCAGATCCATGCTTCCCCTTGTGTACCCTCCAAGTGGCTGGATGCAAGCATCACACCTTAGGGTTGGATCTTGCACCCACTTAGCATGGGGTGTGTACAGAGTGAGGGCTGATGTTTTTGCAGCAAGCTGTACAGGTGGACAGTATCCAGACAGAAGTAAGGACCAAGCTCAAACTGAAAAGAGATTGGAAGACAGAAATATGTACTAACAGAATTTGTGGAGAGGTTGAAGTTGCAGTGAGTGCCGTAATTTTAGTTACCTTCTCACTCGACAGTTTGCCAACTTCAGTCTTTTCAAAACCAAGTAACATGCATTATTGTCAGTTGCAAGTGGTGGACTTAAAGGCATAATTCTTCTTTGTTCAAGCCTTTTCCCTGATAAAAATAACTAAAAAAACAGCAACAAAAAAACAGGTGAATTAGTGCAGGGATTTTCATGCTTTCTTTTTTTTTTTTCTCCTTCCACCATTAGTGGAGGCAGAAGTAGTTGTAAATAATGTTTATTTTGAACCCAAGGTGATAGTCTAAAGAAAAAAACCAAACACACTGATATGTTTATCTCAGTGTAACTTTTCCACCATAATTTTAGTATCCCAGAACATGTTGGTAGGAATAACGTCAGCTGTAAGTGCAGATTTGCAATTGTAGGCCAGATTTCTTCCTGCCATACCAAAGTTCAGCTTGTATATTGAAAAAAGTAAGTCACAGTCCAATTTTTTACTGGTCGTGTACTTCCAGGGAGTTCCTTACGTTGGGAAACTTGATACTGCACTTCGCCCGGGATGCACAGTTGCCATTAAAGGAGAAGTGAATAAAAACCCTAAGAGGTAAGTATTACAGAACTTTTCTGCTATTTAGCTGAGCTACTATTGAGATTAAGCAGGCTTTTCCCATTGCCTCAGTATGTCCTTACTCACTTGTAACTTTGCATCTGGAATCATCTGAAACTACAGTGCAGTTTTCTCAGGAACCTGCAGGATACCGCTTTAGAGAGGACTTACAAGAGCAGCTCCATTGTGAAAAGTGAAGGTAAAACCTGAGTGTCTTACCTACTAAATCTGCATTGTTCACAAGGTTGTGTGTCTGTGCAGGGTTTTCATTGTGCAAAGCATGTGAGCAGGCATGTTGTACAAAGACAGCTTTTATTCTAAAAACATCCAAGAGTAAGGTAACTGGCAGTAGATGGAATATGAGAGAGTTAGATCTGAGCTGCAAGTGTGCTCAAATGGTGCACGTTACGCTTCTCTGAATACTTCTGGGACAGCCTCCTTGGGGACTGTATAAACATGAAGGTGACTAACTGACAACAACTGAAAGCTGGTAGGGGAATATTAATTAATTTTTTTTATAACAAATTAGGAGCAACAGGTTGAAAAGAACATTTTCCCAACATGATTTAAAGGGTGGAGAGGTGGTCAGGAAGAGGAGTGCAGCACAGTCAAAATGGAGCTGAAGAAGTATTTGTGCTTTAGCATGCCCTTGGCTTGAAGGGTGGTTTTGGCTCTGCAGAAACATGCCTAAAAATGAAGCATTTAGTGCAAATGAGCTTTCTATGCTGTGTGTATGCATTGTACTCCTGCTTCCTCAGAGCACATACCATCCATGCAGGTGAACAGCACTCAGTTTATATTAATAATGGAACCCAAGGTCTAGAAATCTCATGAACAAAGCTTGAATGGACTTGAAATTGGACAGGATAATTATTACTTAGATAGTAGCATTTATTTTCCTTTTTTTGCCTTGAAAAGCTTATCAAGCTTGAAAAGCAGCACATCTCAAGTGCTGAATGTACTGCTTTTATGTGTGGAGAGACTTCTGGGTGTTAAAGCATTGCAGGTTGTCTCCTCTTGGTGTCTGTGCTTTTAAAGATACGGATTTTTATAGAGTTTCTAAGCTACGTAAGGTCTTTCACTCAGTTCACACAGTTGTAGATGTTTCCTTTTCTCGGTGAAAAAAAGAGGACTTCCACAGCTTCTTACCTCTTAAGCAAATTTAATCTTCTCAAAGGAGGGAAATAACCTGAGACCTGTTTCTTCTTCAAATGCAGTGAGGTCTTCACTGCAGTGTGAAGCATTCATTCAAATTTGGATGTCTCTTCCCTCTGATCACTCTTCTCCAGTGCTCCTCTTTAGGGACCCTGTGTTGTGGACATCTCTGAGATTGCAGAGTACTCATTCAGCCTCGGCAGAGCTACACTGCCTGCAGAGTAACACTTCATATGCATGGTGTCCCACCAGTCTTAGGCATATGGAGAGAATCCTCAAACTTTTCCTTACACCCTCTCCACTTTGTTGGCAGAAAGACTGTAATAACCTGTAGGTAAAAAAAAGCCTCCCACACTGTTCTCCAAGTTAACAGAAAGAGATGGTGGAGCCAACAGTGCTTATGTTACTGTGAGAATGCTGCTTACCAGTGCTGTAAGAGAGCAGCATTTGGCCCACTGGCTCAATATCTCCTTTCTGAGGCATGAACAGAAAGCTGCAAGTGATGAAGCAGATCTAGCAGGGCCGTGTCCTATATTTGCTGCCTCCAGCAAAGGTTTGTGTGTGAAGGAGTCAAATGCGTATTAACTGGCTGCTTGGTTCTTCAGGTGAATCATCGCCCTGGCTCCAGAACAGCTCTGAGCGTTGGCAAGGGGCTTGGTAAATAACATGGGCTACTGCATCATCAGTATAGTAAACTTTAAAAAAATATCTTCCAGCTTTGCAATAAATCTGAAATCGAGTGACTCAAAGGACATTGTACTACATCTGAATCCCCGAATGAAAAGTAAAGATTTTGTAAGGAACTCATACCTTCATGACAGCTGGGGAGAAGAAGAAAGGGAAATTGCTGACTTCCCTTTCAGTCCAGGGATGTACTTTGAGGTAAGATTGACTGACACACATCATCAGACTGGTAATTCCACCAGAAGGATTAGCAATGGTGCTTAAATGTCGTGTCACTAATGAAAATTTAAATAAAACTGCCATGCCTGCATTTCAGTGTTTTGAGAATATTTAAGATTGAATGGGACCATAGGGAGCAGAGATTTTACCTAGTTTTAATGACAGTTTTCTTTTTAAGTAATTGCAAGAATTCAGCCTGTGATGAATTTTTATTGAACTGAGTTGGACTTGGTGATGCTAATGCTATAAAGTTTCATTTTTTAAAATATCTTTTGCATGAAACATTCTTTGTAAGAGAAGCAGGGCTTGCCCAAGCATAGGCTGTTCTTCATATCTCACCTGAGCTACAACAGAACTATTTCTCTTCTTGCTTTTCAGCTGATCATTTTTTGTGATGCCCACCAGTTCAAAGTTGCTGTTAATGGAGTTCACACTCTGGAGTACAAGCACCGTTTCAAACAATTTGAAAAAATCAACATAGTGGAAATCATAGGAGATGTTACATTGTTAGATGTGAGGAGCTGGTAGTTCTTTTCAGTCAGTACTAAAATAATTAAACCTTTTCTAATGACAGTGCCTCCTTGTCAAGTAAACAGGTGCTGCTGACTCATGCTGAGCCTGCCTTTACCTATCTAGGCTTCTCTGTCTGCCTCTCTGAGCTAGGTGAGCACCAGACCTGCTAACTGTGAAATTAAATCCTCTAACTGATAACATCCTGGCAAGCTAGACCTGTGTTTGCTCAGATCAATCTCCTGCAATACCAAATGTGGCAATATGAAAATGCTGCAGCATGCTATAGCACATGTACTGTGTATACATGTCAATACATGCCTAAGGAATGTTCCTATTCAATAGCTGCTAGAAAAATGAAGCAAATTAAAGAGTAAAATGTACCCTAAAAGACTGTTTAAGATAAATTACCATTGATTATATAAGTATACAAAGCATAAATAAATAAAAATATTCTTGACCTTCTTGACCTCTGTGTTTCTCCAGGTGTAGCTATTATCCCTTTTTTGTCTGTATTTTGTCTGGTTTAACTTACTATCTTACCAGTATCTCCAGAGTGACATAGTGATTCTGATGGGAGGACCATTTCCTTGTTGAGGAGTTAGCAATCCACAGACCAGTTAATCTGAGTAGGCCTCGTCTGTGCTGGTGTGGCCTTTGGGACCGCGTCGTGCTCTATGGCCCTTGGCAACAGGGCAGTGATTGTAAGAGAGGAGCTGGTGGGCAGCTCCCAGTGGGTAATGGCAGTTACACCACTCCTGTGTCCTTCCCTCTAGCTAAGAATTCAGCAGCAAGTCTTGTGTGAACACCTCTTTTGTTTGACAGGAGACATCATAATAGTTGGCTGAAGAAAATTCTGTAAGAACGTGACTGAGCAACATTTCTGCCAATGGGATCTGCATGGCACGCTGCACCCTGAACCAAGGCCATTCCCAGCACCTGATGGGGTGTAAGATTATCTTCTTTATAGCGTTAGTTCTAAACAGCTTCATTCTAAACAGTTTCATTTTAAACCATGCTTTACAGAGTCCAAGTGCCTTTTGTACTAGCAGTGTAATGAACCAGCACCTGCCACTGCAAAACAAGTGGCGAATTCTTTAATGTAGCAGGCAATTTAATCTTGATCTTCAGATGAATAAGAAACCAATCAGTATAGCAGTCTTTAAAGACTGAAAAACAGCTTTAGCTCCTTGTAAATTTCTTTTCACTATCTCCAGTAGATTTACATTTTGCATCCTTAGAAATGACAGCAAAGCAGATTCTAAGGACAGCAGCGCATGGGTTCAGTGAGTACCATGCTTACATTGTAGCAGGACAGCCCCTCCAGAGACAGTAACTGCATGATGCCCCATGCACAGGGGAATTCAGTGAGTTTCACGTTGTCATGCTTTTTGTGTCCAGCTATCAGAATTTGTTTAGAGCTTGTTCCAGTTTCCTACTGTTAAGAAAACAGCAGTTAAGGAAAAGTTGTATGAAAAGGCCCCATACCATCCAGAAATGATAAAGCCAGATTCTTACAGTATTTTATTAAAAAGTTAAGATCTTAGCTCTGATAAAAATTAGTATGACAGTTTGCCTGGAACACTTGCATGTGTGAAGCTAAAACAGTTCAGTCAAAATTGAAAACAAAGATGATAAACTTAGAAGTAGCTTTGGAGTGGTTCTCCCAGAATGACTTCCAGTTGTTGAATTGTCTTCTGACACTGCTGTTCAACTTCTTCACATTCATCTAGAAAAAGAAAGAAAGCAGGAATTAAGTAGAATAGTGATTACTATTCCAGGAAGATTGTCACTCATCAATTCCAGAGCTGTCCTCAAACACCAGGTATGAAATAATTATTAAAAAATATTTTGGCACTGACTGAGGACTTGGACAATTGTGTCTACTGTAACACATCTAAAACATGCAACTGGGGAGATGTGCACATGATGTAACACAGGAGAAACTACTGTAATGTAAGTGCAACTATAGGAGTGTCTTGGGTACTATCCATTTAGTTTTGCATCCTGCACAGTTTAAGCCACCAATTAGTAAGATTTATAATAATTATAGCAATCATGCTCTCTGAATCTTTGAAGTAAGTGGCTGTTCTTTTTTTGTCATAGGCCAGTTGTCTGCCTTCACTGGTGCCATTTTTTAACATTACCTTCCATGAGCTCAGCTAAGAATGGAATAGATTCTGGTAGCAAGATCAGGTAGTTCTCTTTCAGTTTTTGTGCAACTTCTACCAAAGCAAGCAGAGCAGCAAATCTGACCTAAAACAAAACAATAATCTTTGTAAGGAAACAAACTTAACAATACAGTTCCCTGTTTTCTCCCCCTGCTTTCTTTCCCTGTACCTTTATAAACTAGCTTTCTCTACTAAAGGAGTTTTAAGCTAATTTAATTTTCACCATATGGGTTAAGATCATGTCAAAGGATAAAGAGGTTATAAGAAGCAGGTACATTGCTGGAGGTTATCTGATATAACAGTCTTTAGCTTCTTATTATGTTGTGACTGTTCCACTGTGTCAGGAGGACTTGGCTCAGTACACTGAAAAACCAAGTATGCCCCCTGAATACATGGAACCTGTCAAGTAAGAGTCTTGTAAAGACTCTATATAGTAAACAGGCCTGCAGGTTGGCAACTGTCTTCCAGTTCCCCCTCTGAAGTGCCCCCTTCTTCATATGCAAGCAGGTTAACCTCTTATTCCAACAGCTACCAAATATTTAAAAAATCCAAACCAGACAGTATTGAAGACATTCACATAAGGAATACTGACTGCTTACAGTTAAGAGCAGAAGGCCATGTTTATAAATCTCTAACTTGGGAGTGGCATAGTACAGTATATTAAGAGCAGAAGGCCATGTTTATAAATCTCTCTCTAACTTGGGAGTGGCATAGTACAGTATCAGAATTTTAATTTAGGCTAGTATTTTAGCAATGACTTAGCTAATCCACTTCTGGGTTTTGGGGCACTGTTCCCATTTTCTAAAGCAACAAGGAAAACCAGTTCAAATTCTGATTGCTTCCAACCTTAGAAGAGCTGTGCCTCATTTT